CTTTTCATCACAGGGTGAAAAGGAAAGCGACCAGGCCGAGGATGTCACCTTCATAACACCTGGAAGCTTCCAGTTCTCGGGACAACCGTCGTCATCACTTGGTCAAAATGTCCAAAATACCCCATTTAGGCATCTAATTGGTGAGGAGAGTCACCTACAGAGCCAATTTAGCACTACGACTGATCAAATTCAGAACTTGCCATCCGTAACACAGAGCCAATCTTCCTCTGGTACAGTATCGCAAAATTCTGACGTCCTAGTTTCTAGTTCTCAAAATTCTGCAGACGAGTTTGTAACTAGTTTTCCAAATTCCTTAGATAACTTTGTATCTAGTTCTCAAAATTCTGCAGGCACTTTCGAGACACCCTTCACCACATTAAGTCCACCTACATCAAGTTTTAACCCACATCCAGTAACCACCATTGCTCCCAATCCAACTTTCCCTCCAAACCAGGTGATTAGTACTTTTGAACAAGATTTTACAAATATCAGCAACGAAGTTGGTTCACCTGGTGTCTCCGTCACAAGTCAAACGGATGAAACTGTAGCATCTCATCATATTATCACTAAATTAGATGAAACCGTTTTGGACTCGAGCAATTCTGTTCAGCAATCGGCTTCAGAACCAACACTGTCTGGTGACGAATCGAAACTTCACACTGTCTCAGATACATTCATCACGACTCCCTTTGACCTTTCCCCTCTGCGCCAAAATCCGACAGATGGAAATTACATTCTATCGCTGCGTCGGGTGATGGACGATGGCACCGAGCAGCCCTTAGACGTTGTTATCAGTGTGGATGGTCGGCTGATGGGTGCTGTGAACCATCCAGCCCAAGCACCGTCACCGATAACACTTCAGAATCTCTCAAACGACCAGTCTCTCAACTTGGGTTTGCTTTTCAATGAGCTCGACCAACAAACGGATGTGCTCAGAGATAAACGTCATATGAATCATATGAATGACCCCAACTCTACTGTTAGTCTGTCTACCGTACTTCAAAATTTGACAAATTCTCAGGAAATTACCACTGTTCTCAAGAATGGAGGAGACATAAAAGTACGACCATATGTTACCACACATTATGCAAATGGCACCAGACAAAACAGAACTTCAGCCTTAAATGCAATACAAATGACTAGAAATTCGCCAGCACAAGGTCCGAGTTCAGAAAATGCTAGTACTCCTTATTTGTCTCCATCTTCAACTGCTTCACCTTTCGTTCAGCACAGTTCTGAATCTCCAGTTGATTCTCTTCAGTCTCTAACAAATCTTCTAGACAATAATGTTCATTTAATACCTTCGACCACTGCTAAAGCCCATCACAGCCCATCACCCACTGGCCCATCTGGAATCAATAGGTCAAGGCCTTTTTCCATTAACCTTACACGGAAAAGAACACAGTATTCACTAATACCAAAGGTGCACATACAGAATGAGTCATCTTCTTTGGAGAATATTACTCTCTACGTGCCCGAGATCCTCAGAATGATGAGGACCGGTCAAATGTCAAAGAACATAGAGGAAAGGTCCCAACTAAGTAGTAACTGGCATCCAGCTTTACTCAGCACACACCTCTATGCCACTCACCCTCAGGTCATTCAGAATTATTACATCCAAGTCCCTGAGGGAAACCAAGGGCTCGGTAGAGAGGCAGAGGATGAACAATGGAGCCCAAAGATGCGCCCGTTGAATCAAAGATCCAGTGAATTACTTGAGGAAGATGACAGTGTTCAAATTCATGTGAATGAGTTCGAAAAGAGATCAAATTTCACTGACGAAGAACTGCCTAAATATTCGCCTCCGTCAGGATCTCAAGAAATGTTAAAAGCTTTGGCAGACAGCAAAGATGGACTTGATCTTCATATGTCGCTTAACCAGACACCCTCTCTTATCACGTCTTCGCCGTTACTGCAACACTTGTCTTCATTCGTCCCTTCTTCTGCTAAGGTACCTATGATATCACCGTTATTCAAAGTACCTTCATCATCCATATCATCTGCACCATCAGTTTCTAGTAAGGGACATCCTGACAATAAAGACTGACTTCTTTAGAATCAAGACATCTGCTCCTGAAGTCACGATCTCAAGTGAAGAAGGCGATTTAGAGGTTAACGACGATGCACCCCTCACCCCTTCAAGAACAACTCGAGATACCACTTCTTCCACACCAAATTATGTAGCTGACCAAGACCAAATTCTCACCCTAAATCCTGTAAAACTTGATAAATCGTTTTCTGCTTCTAATATTTTTCGACGAGCCAACTGATAATGATATTGAGAAACGTCACTCCATTAAATAAGACAGTGGGGCCTCAGGCTGGCTCTAGGGTTAAGAACAATAATTCATCTTTGGAGAAAATTACTTTTAATCTAAAGTTATCTTTGAATAATAATTCACCCGAATTAGAAGGGATCTACAGCATAAACAATATGGAAAAGACAGAATCCGAAAAGAGAGAGGAAGCAGTATTAAGATCACAAGTAATTAATACACCATTATTACAAAGGAACTACACAGAGGATAAGAGAGACACCGTATATGACAAGAACGATCAAGTCTATGCCAGCTCACCTGCAGCAGTCGAACATTTAGAGCCAGAAACTTCAAAAAGAGTTCTGGCAACGCCCTCAAAACAAAAGGATGTTAATCAGTCAAAGGGTCAAGATTCACAAATCAGACAGTGGTAACAGAGGCACCCAGAATACAACAGAATATTCCCACTCACAGTCAAAGTTTACCCTCTATTAGACTACAGACAGATCAGCTATTCCTCAAAAATACATGCTTCCAGCAATGAAAAAGACTTCTTTGAGAACATGACAAGACTCAAATGTAGAAATAGAATTAGATCTAAGATGTCGGCCGCTACCTCCAGCCTGTGTAAATGTTACAGACTGATATCAGCTCGGCAGATCATTGTCCAATATCTTTGACTAGATGTTAGATATTGGAAAAAATTCTTCTGATTATTATTATTTTGTTTTATTCAGATTACTATTTCCGTTTATACATTCCGGAATATTATCCCTAAGCAGATGCACCATAAACCTAAAAAGAAAATCTTATTAAGACCATACGGTGTTTTGCAGCACAATCAAGGTGGTGCCAAATTGCATAATAAACTAAAATACTTGTTCACTGACTTTAGCACGGATACGTTTATCAACTTCACAACATGTAAATATCATTTACTGCCTTCGTATTTTAAATCGGAAATCCTTCAGTTAAATGAGCAGTCAGATTTAGTATGGATTGCCCCCCAATACATTAGTTGTCAAACATTACAGTTGCCAATGGTAGGAACTATAATATGTTGAAATGCAAAATAATCCCCCTAGTTTATAAGCGTTCTAAAAGACCAGCGATGTAGGAATGACGTATATCCCCCAATTCCCCTTTAAAAGATAGTGTTTGTTTCCTATGTTATTGCTATAAAGATATGAGGAAGTAAGCATTAGGGGAAGTAGAAGTAGCTTGGTATAAGGTGGGAAAGGATACGTTATGTCGATGTCTCTCTTTACAGAGTTTGTGACAAAATAATGATGAAAAAATTAATTATGATAATTATAGAGTATAATAATGATAAATTGATAATGATGATAATAGTAATAGTGGACTAATAACCAAATGAAAAGCAATTACAAAAGAAATAAAAAGCTAAATCACAAGCTAAAACAACATATAAGATAATCGATATTGATCTTTCGACTCTCTTCCAATACGGCAAACATTGATTTTTAACACCGGAAGGGCATGGACAGTCACGAGATCATGACTGAAACATGTGCAAAACCAATCATTGGTGAGAATCGGGAAGGGGGAAAAGTGAAATTAATATCGTCCTCCCTGCAATTGACATCTACTTCTTTACTGAATCATTGGTGATCAAAGAGAAGATTACTCGACAAGCTAGAAAGAATAGAAGCAAATTTATTGTAGTAAAATTGTCAACAAACCTTGATTCTGGAACCAAGACATTGTGATTTTTTGTATTATCTAACAAATGCTTTGTTGTGCAAAGAGCAGACTATGAAAAATAACAATGAAAAAAGTGTAAATTGATTCGAGAAAAAGAAAATCTCACTAATAAAATTGTTTCGGTGAAGCCCTGGGGCAAAGTGAATCTATGCAATTTCTGAAACTATAGTAGGTCATTTTCTAATCTAATCGTTTCCATAATGTGAATTTATTTTGTACATTTGCTCCTGTAATATGCTAAGAAAACTATGTAATAAGTACACAAATAAAAAACTGTTCGCTTTTGATTGCCGTCTTTATATATATATATATTATATATATATATATATATATATATATATATTATATATATATATATATATATATATATATATATATAAGAAATTATTAGACATTTTTCTTTTGGAAAAAAATATTTTGTCCCATATGGGCTTCATCGTTTAATGATGGATAATATCAGTGATGATGAGTTTTAGCCATCATACTCATAATGGTAATGATATGGATGATAGTGATGATGATACCGAAACAATATCATAATAATGGTGGTGATAACTAACAGTATCAATGATGGATACAAATGAAGATGATAATGATGATGACAGATTATCCATAATTCATAACAGAAAAGAAATTCATAGTTTGTTTTTTCTTTTTTTCTTTTTTGTCATAAAAATGTCCTCCTAACTTACAGGGATAACGAGTAACGCTATCTTCATTTGTTAATAATGACCCTATATTTCAAATAAAGCTCAAACAAGTCGTTAGAGCAGAGCATATTATCTAAAACTACCTGTTAAATGTTACGCAAATTTTCATTTCGTAGGTTATTATTAAATCGTGAAAGCGATATTCATTTTTTATATTTTAGGAGCAGAGTTTCGCTAAACTATTAATGCTCAGATATTTTTTAGTCTTTTCCCACTATTTCTGAAATTATTTTTGTTTCACTATCCAAGGCTTTAGAGGTTTCTTGAACGTATCTGCAGCCGTGTTGGAGGGATGCCAAACTGGATGTTCTAAGGTAATGAGTAGTTTATATTTTTACATATTCAACAATCACATGAGACAGACAATACTTCTAACAGAAAAACTTGAGACTCACCAGTGGGGAGAGATCAAGGCGAGTGGACATGAACAAGTAAGAACACACTTTAAGGCCTTAAATTTCGTGTTTTCTACAACAATAACAAAAACGATCAACAACGAAGCATTGGTGGCGCCCTGAAGCCCTAACGCAAGGGCTCGGGTTCGACGATTCTGCCCCAGAAGAGAGGCACTCCCGTCTGCTGTTCCCGGAGGAGGAGAAGCGAGGGCCGGTTGACGGAGAATTCTCGCGACGAACCGAAGCGAACTATGGTTGATGCCGTGGCCGCTGCTGCCTCCGTGCCGGCCTCCGTGATGTCAATGATCGTCTCGTGAATGACTTTATCGACGAAGATCCTGTTGGACGTCATTTTGCTGAAGTCCGCTCGGCTAGGATCAAAGAGATCGGTGACTCCAAACTGCTTCAGAGTGTCGGCAAGATCGGTCCTGAAGTTGAGTCGCATTCTGGGCAGGAAGACGTTCATGTGGATGAGGGACATGTTCCCGATGTACCGATTGAGGGTATGGGGATCCAGCTGGGACTCCAGAGTGTGTAGTGACCTCAGTGAAGCGGGTCCCTTTGGCACAATGAAGTACATCGCGAACTGACCTCCCTTGTACGGCAAACCTATCATGTCAGCGTTCAAAACAGGGAGGTCAGTGTATAGCACCTTCATGATCGTGGACATCATGGGGATATTGATGATGCGTTTGCCCGTGTTGAAAGTGCCCCGGGTGGTGCCCGTCTTGTCGAAGGGGTTCTCCCAGTCGCCCTTGAAGTAGACTGTGTTGACGGCCAGCGCGGACGTCTGGGGGTTAACGTTGGTCAAGAGCTTCGGGATTTTGCCTCGAGTCATCTGGTTCACCCACGCGTTGATGGCGTCCCTCGCGGCGCTCGGGCGGGAGAAGTCGAGCTGCTGCACTTTGGTCCCATAAAACCGCTGCGCATTGTCATTGTAGGACTCCAGGATATCTGCATCGGGGTTCAGAAACAGCCTGTTGGCCACGCTCACGATTATCCCCGGGTTTTCTTGGACGAGGGTCTGCATGAGGTTTCGGTAGGCGTCGTGAATCGCAGCGTCAGGCACCTGTGGCGGGTACCGAAGCGCGGAGCGGAGCTGGTCGTAGGTCGAGGCGGACGTGCCCATCAGCAGCATCGAGAGCAAGGACGTGATGCTGAACGGGGAGAACACGGCGTTGAGAGGTTCATTCCGGGACGCCGAAGAGAGGTCCTGCGCGAACTGCAATAATTATGTCTGGTTAATTAGTGCTGATGAATCATAATGATAAAAAATATAACAATGATATAATGATACTTGTAATAGTAGAAGTAGCTGTAGTAGTGATACTAGTAGCTGTATTTGTAGTAGCAGTAGTAGTAGTAATAGAAGTAGCAAATATAGTAATAGTAGTAGTAACAGTAGTAGTAATGGTAGTAGTAGTAATAGTAGTCGTAGTCGCAGTAGTAGCAGTCGTAGTAGTAGTAGTAGTACTGGTAGTAGTAGTATCAGTCGTAGTAATAATAGTAATAGTAGTAGTAATAGTTGCAGTTGTTGTCTTTGCTGTAATAGTAGTTGTAGTTACACTTGTTGTGTTTTTATACTAGTAGTAATAGTAGTAGAAGTAGTAGTAGTACTATAGTGGTAGTAGTAGCAACAGTAGCATCATCGGCAGTAACATAGTAGAAGTAGTAGTTGCATTATAGTAGGAGCATTAGCAATTATAATAAAAGCAGTTACAATATTGATGATAATAATAATGATACAATAATGTTAATGATAACGATAATAATGATGGTGCTCTTATAACAATAGTGATAGGGATAATGGTGATAATAATGATAATGATAATAATAATGATAATTCGGCCAATGACGATGTTTGATAACGACGATGAAAATGATGATGTTAATAATAAAAAAAATACAATAATAACGCTAGTAAGAACAACACATGCAAATACCAACAACAATAACAATGTTACCAATATCACAAAAAGAATCAGCAAAATGAAAATAATAATAATGATAATGATAATAACAATGATAATACAAATGAATTATCACAATAATGATAATGACATTAATAATAATAACAATAATAATAAAGATATATAATCACAAGAATGATGATACTACTACTGCTAATACTACTACTAAAACAGTGATACTGATGATTATAATGATAATGATGATAACAATAATAATGATGATAAACAATAGTGACGATACTAATAAAAGTAATAATAATAATAGATATAAATAATAAGAAGAACGATAATACTAATGATAATAGATAATGATAATGAATAGTGATAATAATGATAATAACGATAACAACACAACAAACCTTCTGAATGAAATCTCCTATTCTCGGGGCGCCGATTCCCTGAGGGGCGTCAGCGCCGTCGACAGCAGCCAGCCCAGCAGCCGCCAGGGACACGAGCAAGACAGCTATCACCTGCATCTTGAACTGGAAAGAAGTACGAGTTGAGAAAAACAAGTCCTATGTCTATTTGCGCTTCTTGTTCTCCTTTTTTTTTTTTTTTTTTTTTTTTGGGGGGGGGTATGACTTTTTTGGGGGTAACTTTTTTGTGTGTGTGGGGTGGGGGGAGGGGTGTTAGAGGCAGGTAACTCTTTTGGGGGAAGGTGATAGGGTACATATTTATTTACTCTTTTGGGGGAGGGAGGATGTAACTTTTTTTAATTTTTTTCTTGTTTTAAAAACTTTTTTTATCTATTTTTTCCTTCTACATAATTGGTGCACTTATTTATGTATTTGTCTACCTGTACAAATGACGTCTTGTGAAGTAATTTCGTTTTATGATCTGTATATACGTACTCATACATACATGCATGTGTAATTGGTGAACTTATGTTTGTACCAGTCTACGTGTACAAGCGTGCAAAATAACACAAAAGCTCAACCATTGCGATTTGTACAGGAGGTCGAATTGTGTTCATAATTGCAGCGAGTACAATTTATGCATGTATGTGTGTTTATATATATATATATATATATATATATATATATAATATATATATATATACTCAAATATATAGATTTGTGTGTGTGTGTGTGTGTGTGTGTGTGCGCGCGCGCGCGTGTGTGTGCGTGTTTATGTGTATGTGTGTGTGTGCGTGTGTATGTATGTGTGTGCGTGTGCGCGTGCGTGCGCGCGCGCGTGTGTGTGTGTGTGTGTGTGTGTGTGTGTGTGTGTGTGTATGTGTGTGTGTGTGTGTGTGTGTGCATATCTATCTATCTATCTATCTATCTATCTATCTATATATATATATATATATATATATATAACTATCTATCTATCTATGTATCTCTATGTATATATAGAGGTATATAGATAGATAGATACAAACTGCAATTCATTTCTGAAATATTCAATATTTCAACCTTTTGTACAAATCACAATGATCCATTTTTTACGCCATTTTGTACAGTTGCATACTTAGACAGGTACACAACTGAGTGTATAAATTACATATAAGAATTTTTTTTATTATTATCAATAGAGAACACCTGTAGATCTGACTTTTCCTATTCCCCTACAAATTTCTTTTTCAAGATAATCCGTTGCCTGGATTTAGCAAATCCGTAAATGAAAAATACTCCAAAATCAAAATCACGCAATAGAATTTTGACATTTTCTTTATTTGTTTATTTTTCCGCCATGTAAAACACTTTCCATCGCATCTTTCGTAAGTCGCAGTAAGAACACAGCACACCTACCTGTTTATCGGACCAAAGATGCCACGCAACTGACTTGATCCAAAGGGCTCAATACTTATAAGAAATATTCAAACGGGAAAACCCAGTGACGTCACGGCGGTTCCTGCAACACACATTCCGGGTCATGTAATGGGATGGTATTAAATTTTAAGTTAAGCGTCCATTGATATAAACAAGACATAAAGATCGACCATCTCGTAAGAAAAATTGCTAGCGTCATGAGACTAACGGCAGTAAAACAGGAAAAGTTTATTGTCAAGCGCGGTGTTGTTGTGATGAAGCCAAGAACGAATAGTTATTTATCAAGAACGCAAACCTGATTTAGGCTCAGTAAGGAGTATTCAATGTCAACTTGAGAAGAGGAGTGAGAAAGTTTGAGATTATATATGATGTTGACCACTTTTTTATTTGTATTTTACGGTGTAACATTTTATTCATATTGCCTTCATTTTGAAAATGGTAATAAAATAATATTAGGGATAACTCATCAAAATCATTATGTTAACAGCAATGAAAGATGGCTATAAAAATTATGACAATAATCGTGCAATTTTACTAAAGCTGACATTGATAATGACTAATAACGTATACAAAATTCATAAAATATATATAAGGCGTTGAATTGCCTACATTTTCGATTGCGCAATTAACAAAAATCAATGCAAAAAATCACGCCTTAAATCAAATCCGCTGATATTAGAAACGAAAAGCAGTAAAGTCATTGTAACGGTCATATCTGAATGCCTTTCTAGCTCTTTTCTTAAACTTTAAAAATGTATAACATTCCTCTTTGTAATATTTTCGTAACCATGAACCTTGAGCTATAATGCTATAAAAATAATTGTATGAATAATGATATCAAAATGTATTCAAAGAAGACTTAAGTGGCAAGGGGATGTGTTATAAAATCTACGGACCCGATACCCAGCTTTCAATACAGGGAACAGTCATCGTCCGTCAGACTCGCATGGGGTCAAGTACAACGGCGTTACCGCTCTACCTATATATATATATCAGACGATACACTTTCTCTCTCACCTACAAGATTTCGTTATGTGATGAAATAAGGCATATGGCTGTGAGAATAAAGATTATTTTATTAATGCCAGAATCATTGTGCTATACACAGTGTATATTCATATATATTGCGTGTGTGTACCTGCGTGCATGCGTGTAAGTGAGTGTGTATGTGTTTGTGTTCACGTGCGCACGTGTGTGATAATGCACACACACGCACACACATTACATGTACTCTGCAATAAGTACAGGTGTGTAAGAATGCGTGCGAGAGCCTGAAGCATCAAAAAATTAACCCTTTCCGAGTTCCAGGTAAAAACCAGTCCCCCGCTCATACAGATTCCTACAAAGGCACTGCCATCGGTACCAAACATCTGTTAGTTGTTCTGTTGCCATTATGATTATTACAATGGTCCATAAAACCTGTATAGATTCTGTGTCAATATCTGTTGGTGTTATTTAATCCGGTGCATTTGATTATCTTGATTGTATCTATTTTATTTTATTTATTTCGTTTGGTCTTCGTTTTACTTTTACGGCTAGTTAATTTTATTTCATTTATCTATAATAACAATTATAATAAGAATCATGATAGTGTTATAAACATTCATTGCAATGAAACGATATCATAAAAATAATAATTATATTAATAGCAGTGATGATAATAATAAAAGTAACAATGATAATAATAATGAAGATAATATTAATGATGATGATAATGATAATAATAGTGATAAAGATAATTAAAATGGTAATTATAATGATGATGATAAAGATAATAATAATGATAACTAGAAGCACTCAGAGAGCGCATACCTCTGCCAAGGCAATAGGGTCACTGAAAATATTCACACGAAGAATTACTTTTTAAATTCATGCCACCACCAAAGTTTAATGGCATCTAAGCTGGGCTGTCACACTTCTGGTAAAACAAAAATAAAAATAAATAAAAGATAAAAAAAGACATACCTCTGGTAATGAATACATAAAAATTTGCTCATAACGTTTTCGATTTACAAAAAAAAATCCTGGATCTGGATCACCACCAAACTTGAATGGCATCTAAGATGGACTATGACACCTCTGGCTTTTTGAGTTCACAAACAAAATATCCTGGATATGGATCATGATCTGGATAACAACCAAAATTGAATGCCATCTAAGTTGGGCTGAGATACTCCTCTGGTAAAAATTTCATAAAAATCTGTTCTTAACTGTTTTTATGCTAACCTAGGAACAAACTAATGTTACCAAAAACATAACCTCCTTGGCGGAGGTAATAATGATAATAATAATATCAACAGTAATGATAATAACAATAGTGATAATGTTAATAATAATAATGATGATAATAACAGGAAGCACAGAGAGCACATGCCTCTGCCAAGGCAAAAGGTTCACCACCAAAATTTATTGCCTTCTAGTTGGGCTAAGATATACCACTGGTAAAAAAAAAATCTATTCATAAGGTTTTGAGTTATCCTGCTAGCCAACAAACAAACAAATGCTTCCCAAATCATAACTTCCTTGTCGTAGGTAATAATTATAACAATAATGATATTAATAATAACAACAATAATAATAACTAGAAGCGCTCAGCAAAAAAACATACCTCTGCCAAGGCAATAGGGTCACTGATGCAATAAAATATTCACACGAGGAATTGCATTGAAATAGTAATAATAATAATAATAATAATAATAATAATAATAATCCAAGATGTCCCTCTCTCGCAACGTTAATGACTTTTAAAAGATTGTCGATCCGAATCACCACCGAAGTTGGGCTAAGACACACCTTTGTTATAAATTTCGTTAAAAAAAATTCATGTCTTTTTGAGTTATCCTGCACCGGATCACAACCAAAAGATAACCTCTGGTAAAAAATTCGTAAGAATCTGGTCATAACCTTTGGAGCTATTCTGCCAATCAAAGGGCAAACGAATTAACTAATCTTTTTGAGTTATCTTGCAAACCACCTAAATAACAAACTAACCACTACCTAAAATATAACCTCCTTAGCGAAGGTAATAATAATGATAAAAAATAATGATAATAATAATAAAAGAAATAGTAATGATAACAATTATGGCAACAACAATGATAATGATAATAACAATAATAATAATATCAATAATGATAATAACAATAATGATAATGATGATGATAACAATATTGATAATGGTATTTATAATTAGTAGTATTTGCATGTATTAGTATTAGCATAATTGCTGTTATTATTATTATTGTTAATATCATCATTATTATTATTATCAATATTAATGACGATAATGATAGTGATAATGACGAAAAAGGTATATGTAAGAATATCTTCACAATGCAAGAGATGTATTTAACCGGTTTCGAAGATATCTTCGTCAGAAATACTCGTGAAACAGTCATATCATACTCATGTTAGATAAACTCGTGTTAGATAACCCATTCTTAGATACGCACATGTTATAGTAGTTCATATAACATAAGCTCGAGCTGAATATATTCAATTCCTTTTAGATGAAGCAGTCAGTTACACTCATGTTACTTTTAGCTCCCCTGGAAAATCCCGAAGCAGTCCAAGACTTCCTAAAATACTCTTTCCGGGTCATATACTTGACAAAAAAGTCACAAACCAAATCAAACAAATAAATCAAACAATGCTTATAGGTTGAAAG